AGGTCAACGAATCAGAAAAGTCAAATAAATAAAAAAAAAAATCTTAATAAACTTGAATCTCTAATAGTATAGTGTTCACCTTTGTAAAGCTGATTATCTGGTTGGAGCAAAAAAAAAAGAAGACTTCATAATCGAATATACAGTGTGTAGGGTTGATTTGGTCAGATAGATTGGTTTGTCGATATACGATTTGTAAATAGCTATTCAAATCTGAGTAATTGTGATTTTTCAACTCAATCATAGGATCATTTGAATGCTACAGAGTTAAAACCTGTATGTAAATATTCAAGTTATCACTGTAGCAAGCAATCATAATATGATAAGTCCGCTATAGTGATGACTTGAATATTTACTTACAGGTTTTTATTCTGCAGCTAGGGTTGTTAATGGAGCAATATACTCCGGAGCAACCTGGGTTATACTCCAGTCTAGAGTTAGAGTGGGTTGAGATTTTTAAAATTATATAGTAACCTGAAGCAGATTTATTTCTTATAACCCGAGTTACTTTATATAGAGCAGACCTGAGTTATACTCTGGGTTATACTCCGAGTTATACTCCAGGTTATGTTTCAGGTTATACTTCAGGTTATACTCCAGGTTATGCTCCAGGTTATACTCTGGGTTATACTCCAGGTTATGCTCTAGGTTATGCTCTGAGTTATGCTCCGGGTTATGCTCCAGGTTATACTCTGGGTTATACTCCGAGTTATACTCCGAGTTATACTCTGGGTTATTATTCTGCTAGCAGGTTCATGGAAGAACATTCGTCTGATTGGTTGATGCAAATCAATTGCCTGGTAACTTATTTATACACTTTAAAGTACTTTTTGAGAATATAATGTTTTATTAATAAAAAATCATCGCAAAAGCTATTTCTAACTTCGAAGCAACATCAGTATTCACTGTGCAAAATAATCTCTAAAAGATCTTACTTCTCGCATACTTTCCTTAGAAGCGAATATTTTTATTATATACTTGCTAGTACTAGTTATATTAACTATATGTAAGTTTTAAATGCCAAAAATGAACAACAT